GTGCGGGCCGGGCTGGCCGCGGCCTCCCCTGCCCGGCGCTGTCGCAAACAGGACACGGTTTAATGTTGAACGCTGTCTTCCTGTTATTACTCTCTTGTGTGGTATACTGTTTTATGCTGTATGTGTGCATCTGCAGCTCCATTGTCTGTACCTATAAGCCCCTAAGCTATGCCTGTAGCGACACTTGTGAGGGGTCTCTTTACTTTTGATTATCCCCCTAACTTCTGACCCATGGCTGTCATTTGCTTTCACAACTTGAAAAAATGCAGTTTGAGGGGCAAATGCAGTTTGAGTTTGGTACTATATCTAGGGTTGGGCTATTTCATGCGACGCGTACTCAAAGGCGCTTACAGCTAAGGAATAGTCATGTTGTCTTTCCTGACTGCTTCTTTCTTAAGTACAGCTCTCTCAGTGCATATGCCTAGTATGATGAAAAACAGAGATATTGACTCAGGATCTGTCACCAAATCTGCACATTGGTATCTTTCTCAAATATAGGTGTTTCTTTATTAAAATGTTGATATAGTAATTAGCATTCAGCCTAGGTGGGTTTGGGGTAATTATTGTGAAGATGTATACCAGAGATAAGCATAACCAGTATTATGTTGCTTTATTATGCATGTATACCTCATGTCTACCTGTACTGATGTGCAGGTGTGTCATTTTTGGCATCATCTTATATGTCTTCTGTGAACTCAAGAAGTTCTGTCTTATTCTATCCATTTTCTATTTTACAGTATTCATAAAGCAGTGTTACCTGTTACTGCTTATCTTAGTGCAGAAAAAGACCTTTGTATTCCAGTCTTTGTCTTTGTAGGACAGTCTATGGGGCTGCCTGAAGGCTAATTATTAAATGTTTATATGGAGTAATATGTTTCACTGCTCCTTCAGAATAAATAAGCCCCATCTTTTATCTATCCTAAAATAAATGTGGGAAGAATAAGCCTTTGGTATTAATTCTGTTTAATATGTGAAGAACTACAAAATGTTATTCTGCTACAGCTATTGGTTTGGAAAGAATGCTGTTAAAATAGTTGTCACAAAGCAAGAAAGCAAACAAAAGAAGCCCACCTCTGTTGTAAAAGTGAAAAGACCACAGCATAAACTATGTGTTTTCCAAGACAAAAGGGGACATATACATAGGGATGAACAGCAGTTCAAAAAAAAAAAACAAAAAACTGAACTGGAGATAGCAGCAAATGTGAATATGAGTGTCCTATTAGAATGGCATTTATATTCTCTGTTTGTCAAATATGGCAAAAGATTTTTAATTCTGATACAAAACTCAAAGGATGGAGTTGTATTTAATACCTTCTTGCAGATAAGTAACTGTTCAAACAAGGGGGAAAAATGTGTGTGTATATATGCATATATATATATATATACACACACGTATACATGTATGTAGGTATGTTTTGTTTTTTTCCCCCTCCTTTCCTCTTCAGGTCATCTCTGGACTGAAGCTTACGAGATTATTTGCTTCAAATCAGATTCTACCAAGTGAATGTCTTATTTGCCTAGTAGAACTCCTTGAGGATACTAATACAAACCCTTCTCTAACCTTATCTGTGGTTACGTTGCTATCACAGCTAGGTAAGTTTATATCTTAACTTCTTAGCTTGGGCCTGAGAAAGGAAAAGCAAGACAGGTGCTGGGTCTTTGGTGTGTGACCAACTTCCTGTAAAAAGCATAAGCTGTGAAAGATGAAATGCTTTTCATCGTAGTGGCTCAATTTGAGGGGCTAACACCCTACTGTACATACAAGGCTAGATGGGATGTTAAATCACCATTAGAAATATGTTTGGAGTTGTTCTTGTTAAAAAAACAAACAAACAAACAAAAACTATGCTTGCCAGAATTTGCTTCCTTGCTTGCAGGCTGAGAAATTATTCTCTTGAGGATTCCTTGTAGGTTTTGGTTTTTTGTTTTGGGATTTTTTTTTTGTTTTTTTAAGCTTGAAAGTACTACCATTTTTTATGAAATGAAGAAATCTGCCTAGGGGATGTGACAGGAGAGAGAAACCATGATGCATCAATCGTCATGCCCTCAATTTAGTTCTGCCATCCAAGAGGCTTGTTAGTTGGTAGTTCAGCGTCTCTGATGCCCTTGGCCCGTGTGCTTCAAGTTCCTGGATTAGGGAACAGGCTGTAGTACCTGTCGTTTTTTTCCATTTAACAGAAGTGGGACTTTATTGCCTGGGGAACTCTGTGTCCACCACAACACACGCATAGGCTACATATGTAGTGAAAGATTCACTATTCACTTCACTCTCTGCCTGGAGTTTCTCATCATGTGTGAGTGGTTTGGGGGTGTTTAATCTGAGTCCTTTAGGATGACCTTTGTTTATCTGATCTGATTGTTGGAATTCTTAGCCTCTTTCAGGCTTCCTTTGAGTTTCTGCAAATGGCTAGTCTGAAAAGAGATTTGTTGCTGTTTCACCCCTGCACCCATCTGTCAGGCTGCAAAAATTTTAAGATTCAGTCCTCCACCACTGATCTGTTGCTTACTCTTTGTCATCTTTATTTGCTTCTCCTTTTCCTGGACTGCCTAAGCAGAACTTGGCTTTTTGTGTTTAACTGTATTGCTAGGTAGCTATCAAGATACCAGTTTTAGTCTGCTTTCCCACCTTAGCATGAAACAAGGCAATTAAAATCATTGGTGTTAAGGTTTAAGTGTGCAGGACTCAAGATCTCAAATAGACCTAAAACTTTGTTGGTAAGAGGGGGGCAGTTCCCTCAGTACCCGTACATCTTAAGGGAAAGTATTGATGTTTCACTTGCATGTAAGTTAAGAAGTGAGATAGAGATGCAGATGTGCAGGAGCTGTGGCTTATTTGTAGTTACCTGTGAAATATATTCAAGAAACTTGTCCAAGGCCTTGACTTTCCTGCTTTCCTTAAATCCCAGCTAGTATAACTGTTACTTTTGCTATTATGTAGGTTTTTTATTAATAATACTTTTAAATTCTAGCTTTAGACAATGAGACTAGAGAAGCTCTTCAGGATACCTACAATCTGACCAGTGTGCTGGCAGGAGTGGTTCATCGAAGTTCTACCGATCTTAGTGATCCAGTCTTATTACAGGTAATTGGAACTAATGCTTAATAATGCTTTGTTATTGTTAAACAGTAAATATCTTACTGAGTGTATATATATAATAGCTTTTTAAAGGCACTACCTGAAATAATGTGTTGAGGGAAACCTGATCAGAGTTATGTATTTTATTTGCTGTGTGAGGCTAATACGATTAAATTTTAACACTACTCTTATGTGGTGTTAAAATTCTATCTTGCTTGTACTTCTCAAGTGCTCTACTTCACAAAAACTTCTGCTTTTTGAAACAAAGTGTCTACTTCAAGAAATTGCTATCTGAGAGCCTGGAAGCTTATCTTCCAATTATTCTGAGGTAAACTTATTTTTCCTTGTGTTGTCCATAGCAAAAATCTGGAGTTCGTTTCTCTACTCAGTGCATTGACAGGCAGCTGCTGAAATTAAAGGAGTGAAGGAGAAGCTGTGGCTGCCAGTTTTCACTGAAGCTTTGCTGGGCCCGTATACCTCCTTCCCTCTGGTCAGTGATATCTGAGAGTGAATGCAAGGAACGGACTGTTTTTGGAAGCTCGCTCTTTAGGAGCCAAGTGCATGCGTTTTTGATTCTTCAGTCAAAGGACAATGTCTTGAAATCAGACTTCAGACTTTCATTTGTCCTTTCTCTGCATTGATCAGTAAAGTTCTGGCAAAAATTCCTGTGTATAAGTATGCACAGGCTTTCTTATTCCTGGCTCTGAGCTTTCAGCAGGTCCTTGTTGACTACCACTTGTTGATTACCTCTGATCAGATCTCTTCTTTGGGAGGGAAAGCAGCAAATGAATTTGCTAACAGGTTTTTCAGGTTTTTTTGGTTGTTTTTTTTTTTTTTTTAACCCTTGATCTGTGGAAAGTTAATTCAGCATCCAGTAAATAACACTTTTCTCATGTTCTAGATATCTCCTAAAGCACTAAGAATACCAGAGGACTTAAGGATCCAGGTGATTTGCCCTGTCAGTGCGAGAGATATTGTAGATGAATTTTCTGCAAGAGGTTGCAAAGTAGTTTTTGGTGAAACTTCTAGGTGTTTCAATAGGACAAAGCCCCTTTCTCACTCATCAAATGGAGACCTTGCTGACCAGGCAATGGAGAGAATTGGATGGGCAAAATAGTTAACTTCTGTCAAAATAAAACCTTATTAATCTATATGTGCTTTTAATAAGTACATGCACGTTAACGGAGGAGGAAACTACTCAGTGTTCCTGCAGCAACTTGTGTAATTGTAATTTTAATGTTGCGGAGTCTAAAAATGAGTTTAGTTGCAGTGTCTTGCTTTTTTTTTTGTTCCAGCTGTAGGAAAATACCTTTTGTATTTGAAACGTTCTTCAATGAGATGCAACAGGAAAGATGTATGTCAATAACTTTTATTTCCTCAGAGTATTCAGCTGCTGCAGAGGCTAACCTACAACGTTCGAGTTTTTCATGCTGGTGCCAACATCGATGAATTAGTTTCATTTCTAATGCATCATGTGTAAGTGTGTACTCAGTTGTCTTTTATGGGAAACACGTAGCTAAGTTTCTAAATTTTTCCAGAGATGCTTGTTGTGCTAATCTGGTCTCTAGAATGAATTGTGACATATTTGCTCTGAACTTACCAGAGATTTTTTTTAAAAAACACTATTACAGATTGTCAAATGGAGTAATCATGGGACTTTTCAGAGACTGAGTTTGAACTGGCATCGTAGGCTGTGCCCCCTCCCCTAATCCAAAAATGCAGCATAACAAAGACAAAATTAATGCTTACCATTAGGAACAGAATTAAGATAATATGAATTTTATGTAAATCTTTTGAGAGGTCTGATGACTGTTATAAGCACTCACGGTAAAATCAGGACCTTATTTTTACTGTTATGCTCAATAAAAAGCTGCCAGCGCTATGGGGCCTGCAAATCTAAATTTTACTTTGCTTGGAGGAATGATGTCTTACTCAAAGCCACATTTCTTGTAATTAAATTCTGGATACTTTATTATAATTGGTTTTGTTTACACTTCTGGATTTTTTTTTTTTTCCAGTCAGTCCACTGAAGATGAGTTAACAATACCATGTTTAGGACTCCTGGCAAATCTCTGTCGTCACAACTTATCTATTCAAACTCAGATAAAATCTTTGGTAAGAACTCTGTTTTTGTGGCGTGATTCTCTGGATTGAGAATGAGAGAGAGTTATTTTTAACTCTGAAGTTAACTTTGTATTTCTTATACCTTTTATATACAAATAACAATCCTCACCTGTGTTTTGTTTTTTAAGAACTGGTGGTTGTTTCTCCCAAACTGCAGAAAATAGTCTGTAGAAGAACAGGAAGTTGGGTATTCTTTCCTTCTGTACATTGCTATATTGTTACACCAGCTCACATTAAGAATGCAGTTTCTGCAACTTTTTCTGTAAGTGAAAGGTGAACTTAAATTTGGGTGTCTCTTTCCTCAGAAAAACTGTCAGCCTAAAGTCTGGTTGAATTTCTGGCAAGCAGCAGTAACCTGACACAAAGAGAACTACCTTTCAACAGAGATATCAGTAATTCTCACCAATACTGATGTCAGGTCAGGGCTCCAGAACTCTCAAATACACATCCATATCTAAGCTGCTCAGTTCCTGTCTGTTCATTAATTTATGCAAACATAAGTCATGACTGAGAAATTCATCTACGTTGCAAGGAATGTTGTAGGGTATACTTCTTGGAAGAAGGGCAAAAAAGAGGGAGAAACTGGTTTCAAGTCTGTTCATAGAGCAGAGAGGAGATGGGGGGGCAGTTTTTAGTGATAGCTTTCTCTCTGCAGGGATGTCTTGGCAAAAATGATGGAATTCCTTCTTAATTTTCCCCAATCAAATCCAACAGGGGATATAGTCATTGACATCAGCCCCCAGGTAGCTGTACATTGGAGGAACACTAAAATAGACTTCCCAGAAAACTTGTTACCATTCTAAGATTCTTGTATCGTTATTGGTGATTTGTGTCACTTATAAGTGTGTGCTAGGTGTAAGTTTGGTGTTTTTATAGAATGGAGTGAAATCTGTAATGCCTGTTTCTCTTTTCTGCTTTAGAATAATGTGAAGAGTTTCTATCGTACCTTGATAAGTTTCCTGGCCCATAGTAGTTTGACTATGGTTGTGTTTGCCCTTTCAGTGTTATCAAGCCTTACTTTAAATGAAGAAGTAGGAGAAAAAGTAAGTGATGCTTTGAAGTGTCTTCTGTTCTTAAGTTATAGATAATTAAGTCACCGTGGCTAAATCACATTGCGACTCCAGCTAATTTTAAAAAGAGACCTGCGCAAGGTAAGTATACGCATTGTAGGTAACTTTCTTCTTCATTTCAGCTCTTTCATGCTCGAAATATCCATCAGACTTTTCAGCTAATATTCAATATTGTTGTAAATGGAGATGGTACACTAACAAGAAAATACTCTGTTGATCTACTTGTGGATCTTCTGAAGAACCCCAAAATTGCAGATTATCTTACCAGGTATAACTTCACTTTATAAAATTGCAGGATCTCCTTTCTAAGCTTTTGTTGGGCTCCTTTGCTATATGCCGTTTGTGTTCTGAAACAAACCCTGGAAAAAAAATTCCTAGATGCTTCTTGAATGTTACTAGTTGCTTATAACATTTTATATTAGAAACTAAAGGAATTCTTGTGTTGTCAGTTTCATACAGAAGTAGTGTGAACTGAAATCTGTCCTTTCATGGTCACTTAAGGAATATTATTTAGTGGTTATGTCCAGTAATTCAATTTCTCTGACCAGTATTGGTGGTCAGACAGCTTGATGACTAGCTATGTTGCTATTTCACAAGCCTATCGTATATAGAATAATATTGTTCAAGTTGTAACAATTTTAGTGGAGGGCACTACAGAGTAGTTGTGCGGAATGCTTGACTAGTGGTTTGGCAAATCCAGCTTGTAGAATTTAGTTGCTGAATCTAGATCTGAATCTCTAACAGTAAAAATAGCTGGAAAATCTTGGTTTATTTTAAGGAATTTGCTTTCATTTTTAGAGTATTTTTAAAGTTTAGCCTCTGAATAGAAATTACATTATTGAACCTGTGTAAACTATCAAGACTGTCAAATCTGTACTTGAAGTGTTTGGGGGTGAAAAGGGGAATGTGGCACTTGCATTTATCGCTTGGTATAAATCTTATATATGCTGTAGATATGAGCACTTCACCTCATGCCTTGGGCAAGTATTAGATCTTCTTCATGGAAGGGATCCTGATTCATCATCTAAGGTATTTATACTTTTTCAGCATAAGGCTAGTTGCTTATACTTCCTAGTCCGATTCTACTTTTGTAGTCAAATTTTTATGTACTAGGGTTGATGATGAAATAAATTGTAGGTCACTTTAAGAGTCCTGAAGTCAGCGTTGATCCACTATAAATCTTTTAGTTGTTCAAAAGGCCATCAGACTGACTTTGCAGAAGTTGGTGGTATGCCTGCTTTCAGACAACTGACATAGAGGCAAAAGGCCAACATAAGCACCTTTTTCTGCGTTGGCTAGTGTAAAAAAAAAAAAGGCACAGAAGTGCAGCGTGCACCCCACTGGACTGGCCAAAATTTAAATTCATACTGCTCAGATTTTGAATTGATCATGCAACCATGATGTTAGTTTCAGAGACCGTAAGTTATTTCACTTATAGTAGCTGAACAAATTGATACCTCTTTGAATTAAACAGTTTGCCTTTGCATTTACCGTTGCCTCACTGCCACCTTGTATAAATGGAAACACATTTGGTATCTGTCACTGAAGATTAAAATATGAAATATCCTGAAAATATTTGGGCTGAATATATCTATGAAACAAACTTTTCATGAATGCATTTCAAATTATAGTAAATGGTAAATATTAATACTCTTGTGTATGTGTGGATTTTTTTTGAGGGGTGGATTTTATTTAAAAATGCACATTGAGGATGAAGCTTTCTAGGGCACTTCCATCTTCATTTCTGAGTATGCACCTAAATATCCATTATGATCTCAGTGTTTTCCCTTCCATAACTTTCTTCATTCAAATTGCTTGATGAGGTGTTTTACTGCTGATAGCTTTCAGTGTACTGCTTCCTCCTATGTATTAAAAAAATTTGCTGCCTGGAAATCTAGCTATTACAAGCCTGATCTTCACCACTCCAATGAACTTGTGTTTCTGCAGCTGACTTGACTTTCAGGAAAGAAAGCCATCTTTCAAAGTATTGTTGGCTAACCTTCTTCAACGTGGCAAGGAGAGCTGCTTGGAACTTAAATATGTCTTTAGATGTTTGCTCTGGGAGTTACAATTTCTGTAGAAATACTTGATTTGAAAATATTTAAACTCTTCCATTAACTTCACACAGATCTTAGAACTGCTACTTGCCTTCTGTTCTGTGATGGAACTGCGTCATACTCTGCGGCAGGCAATACTGGAACCCTCTGGATTGCCAGTCTCTGGAAATACCAGATTTGTGGCTCGCTCAAAGACTTTTGAACCATCTGTTGCATTGGTGCACTTGTCAAACCAACCATTGGAAGGCTCTGAAGACTGTTCAGTTCTAGCCTTGCAGCTATTCAAGGAGATTTTTGAGGTACCAAGACTAATAATTGAGTTTACATAGCATTTTAGCAGCTATATTTTATGTTTTATCTCTAGCGTTAGAGAAACACATCTCTAATAGAACACCAGTTTATCTATAGTGGGATTGATACTGGTTTGGGGACAAAGGTAGTGGACTCTGAACTGTGGTGAGCACACTAAAATAATGTTTATCTAAAATCTAATTTAGCAACGCTTGCATGAGTATGGTGATACAGTTTCAAAAGAAATTACATTCTAGTTGAAGGTACCATTTAAATAACAGTAACTCAATGTTATTTTGGGATCAAATTTGGTATTTTTGTGGCAAAAAAGTTGCTGGTCAGTTCAGTAAGTAAAACCTAGCTTAAATGTTTTGGTATTGTTTTGGTGGTAAGTTAAGGTCCGCTTATGTGAAAAAATGATCCTAAACCTCATATGCTGAATTGATTTCTGAACAACTGCTGTTACAGTTAAATCTTAATCCGCTTTTGTGGTCTTACTTGAAAAATAGCGTGTAAAATACACCTGAAGTATAATTCTTTTTGTTCTGGAATTCCACATGCTGTAAATCAGTTTTCTTTTAAAGACAAGCTATATTTTAAAAAAACAGATCTGTGCTGCAAGGTAAATGAAGGTATGGCAGTTCATGAAGTAATTAGGTGGGTACAGAACTGTCAGTAAAGAACTGTTTTTGTTGGAGCTAGTAGAAGTCAGGAAGTCTCTGCTGGTTCTGTGCTCTTTGTTAAACTTCCTCCAGTGTGATATTAATTGGTAGTCTTGAAACAAAACTGAAATAGCAAGGGTCTGGGAAAGCTAGGAGACAAACTGGTGGAAGAAGGGTAGAATAGACTTGGTTTTCTTCTGCAGTTTTAAATATTGACATAAAATTTGCTTGTTACAGGATATTATTAATAGTGGCAACAGTGCCTCAGCTGAACACTTTGTGGATCTTTTGCTGCCTGTTCTCCTTGATCATCTTCAGATGCCAGAACAGATTGTGGATGAGCTATTAGTGAAGAAAAAGTGTGAAAGAATGGTCAAGGCTATTAGTGTTCTAACAAATATCCTTTTTATGTGCCTATTGGCAGTTAAATTATTATTCCTCTTCTATGCTCTGCTGCTCTAAGGTGCTAGAGGAAATACCCATCTTGAGTCACTGAATAGCTTTTAATGTCAGTCAACATCATGATTTGGCTTGACTGTCATCCTCGAACTCTGTAAGTTGTTTTCTAATTGCTGTGAAGTAAATAGTAGTGATGGAAGATAAAATGCAGTGACTGTTCAGCAGTGTAAAGCACCCAGCCAAATATGGTGCATGTTCAAATCATTGAAATGCACACAAAAATAGATGTGAAATCATGCCTTTTTACATTCTTCTATTTGTAAAGCGGTTTTGTTCATTAGGATATAAGAGTGGCCTTTCTGGTCTGTCTAGGCTAAAATGCTGTCTCTGATAGTGGCCAAACCTAGGGAAGAGCATGGGGAGAAGGCAAGTATGGTGCTACTACTCAGTTATTTTCAAGCTTCTAGCTCTGAATTATTTGGGCAACTACATTTCTTCCTCTTTTTTCCTGCTTCCATGATTTTTATCCAGGTGACTTTTTGAACTTAATGTCGTCCTGTAGGAGGGAGGACACAACTGCAAGACAGTCCTGCAGCTAAATGGATTTCTGTGAAGTCTCTTCACTAGTTCTGCCCTAGAGAACTAGTTGTTGTATTAGAGACTGACTACTTGCTTTTGTTAATCTTCTGTCACTCATGATTTTATAGACCATTGCGTTTCCCTAGTCCTCCAGTTGTTTGTTTCCAAATAGACATACTTTTTAACTGAAGAGTGAAGCTTACTTGGCTTGTGTATTAAGTGTGGCTGTTAAGTGGCTTAGAGTTGGATTTTAAAAGCATATTTGGAGGGTCTTGTGTTTCAAGGTACTAGCTTGTGTCCTTTACTGTTAGATAACATAACTTTATGTGCCAATATTTGAAGATGGATATAAAGTTTTATTCTTAACTTAGCCCACTGCTGTGTGGAGATGACGTACTGAAAACACATGCCTCAAAGGAGCTGAGTGCCAGCCGATGCACATCTCTAATAGAACACCAGTTTATCTATAGTGGGATTGATACTGGTTTGGGGACAAAGGTAGTGGACTCTGAACTGTGGTGAGCACACTAAAATAATGTTTATCTAAAATCTAATTTAGCAACGCTTGCATGAGTATGGTGATACAGTTTCAAAAGAAATTACATTCTAGTTGAAGGTACCATTTAAATAACAGTAACTCAATGTTATTTTGGGATCAAATTTGGTATTTTTGTGGCAAAAAAGTTGCTGGTCAGTTCAGTAAGTAAAACCTAGCTTAAATGTTTTGGTATTGTTTTGGTGGTAAGTTAAGGTCCGCTTATGTGAAAAAATGATCCTAAACCTCATATGCTGCAGTTGAAGCTTATCCAAATTGAAGCTTCCCTGAAATGCTCATGTCACCTAACGGCTCATTTTAATTTTTATGTAACTAGATTCAGAAACATCATGCATCAGTATGTGGGAAAAAAAGCGCATAAAATGGAATAGAAACCGCTTCGGCTCAGTGTCATTGGCAAGCATGTAGTCTAGGCTATAGTTGCTGCGCTTATATGTCAAACCAATAGTGAAATGTAATTGACCTGGGATTAAACCCTCTTCACTTTAAAGTTGTGGTTTTTGTGCTTTACTGTTGCTGCCCTTAGTATGCTGGGGAAGCTCAGTAGCGCATCCAAGGACGTGCTACTCTCTTGGTGTTGGCATTGGTGCCTTGCTAGACATGTTTAATTTGGCGGGGTGGGGGGCGGTATCTGTGTGTTGTGTAGATAAACTGAATTTATTTATCACTGTTGATTTGACAAATCTCACTCTACATCTTTTTTTCTTCCACTTTTGCTTTTTCCATTTATGTTAAAAGCAAACTTGCTGCTGATGTTATTTTGAAAACACTTGATCTTATGAGCAGACTTAAGCAGGAGGTACCTAGTATGGAAGTCAGCTTCTACAAAATTTTACAGGTATGATGTGAAATTCCTTCACAGTTATGCTTTGAAAGGTGAGTGTCATAGCACTACAGTAGTTTTAATTCTGCATGTTTTGTGTGAATAACTCCGAGTGGTAAAACTTTTAGGGAAATGTAGTCCCCTGGGCACAATTTTTGAAGGTTGTTTCATTAATTCTTCTAAAATATCAGCAGTTTACTTTTACTCAATTCACTTGCATGTTTTGGTAATGCATGTGAAATTATATTCAGCTGTTTGGTAAGGATAATCTGTATAAGGCAGCGTTAGAACTGCAGTTTAAAGGTAGTAAACTAGAAAAAAGTTATCATTCAAATATTTGGTTGTGATTTGTGGTGTTGGTTACTATTAAGTATATCCACCCAATTCATGACTTTGTGGAGATGAAACAGCTTCTGGTAGCTATTGGGCAGATGATACCTTAACAGTTCACTTTATACATGGAAGACTTATTCAAACTGTCAAATAATTCATATTGTTCTGGAGGGCTTATTTCAAAAATGGATAATATTATGAAATTTAATGAGTAGTAATGAGAGTTCAGTAGTTCTCTGTAAATTCTAACAACATCTAAGCTTATTTTTTTATATAATTAAAATCGAGTACTTAAAGGAATTAAGTAGTCTTTTATCTTTTACACTGCCTTAAACAGGAAACCAAGTTTATAAATACCCCCAAATGCAAACTATTTGTGAAGTCATTTCTGTTTCATTGACTTGAGGCTTCAGAAGCTTAGAAAGGGTAAACTTTGGAAAGGTAGCTTCAGTTCTGATAAAGCATTTCTGTGCTAGTGGGCCTTGGTGTATTGTGATGTCTTTTGTTGTTGTTGACTTATGTTGTATTTGATCAAAGTGGTTTCTTTTCAGGATCAGCGCTTGATTACACCTTTGACATTTGCTTTAACATCAGACCATAGAGACCAAGTGCAAGCTGGACTTAGAATACTGTTTGAGGCAGCACCCTTACTGGATTTTCCAGCCATAATGTAAGCCCATTTTTGTGATAGTTTGGTAGGATTTGACGCTTTTATGGCTGTAAGGATGCTAATATTTTTTGGCATATTATTTCCAGTTCATTTATAACAAACTTTACAAAAATTTTCTTGTTTTCTTTATCTGCAGTTAGAGACAGCAGTATCTTGGGGGTCAGAGGAAGTAGTGCAAACATTGGTAATTGGTTAAAAAAAGATGCTAGAGAGCACTGTAGTGACTTAATTCCATCTCTCAGGATTGACTTGTCTGAATTCTGTTCTTGGAGCTTTCTACTTGGACTGCATTTAATACCCTGATTGTCAGAGGAGACTCTGCAAACTTTCAGATGTGTTACTCTTCAGTTCCTAAAGGTGAATCTCTTTGCTTACCATTTTGCAGTAATTTCCAGTAAAGGCCAGATAGCAGTTTGGGCAGGATTTAAGGTTCCCTAAATACGGGAAATAAAACATTGAATAATTTATTTGATGGAGTCCATATTGATCCTTAAAGTTGTAGCACACTTCTCGCAACCTAGAGAAACAAACTGGAACTGCTTCCCTTTTTGCTAGCAAAGATTTTGAAAAAGAGGTAGGAACTGTTTCAAAGGACTTGCAGATCAGATGTCTTTTTGGCATTTGAACCGCTTTTCTGGAACAAAGGATTCGCAACATATTGAGTTTGTCTCAGAACAGTGCCTGATGTACTACTTCTTGGTGGGGTGGGAAAGACTTGACCAAACGATGATGTTTTGTTTTATTGTGGTTTTCTTGTTGTTTTTAAGGAAGTTTAAGGTGGTGCTATATACAGAAACTACTACTACTACTAAAAAAAACCAAAAAACCTAAGGAACTGTACTCCTTTCTGCCATAATCTTGAAGGTAGTGTTTAGAACAGTTATAAGAGCCTGAACTGTGGCTGCTAAAATTGTACTTTCATCCTTAAAACCTTGATGCTGTTGTGATTTCAAGTAGTAGTATATTTCAGTAGCACTAGCATCTAGTTACTTTAGATGTCAGGAGTGAAATATTTGACTTTTTTCGAGTAAATGAATGTTTGTAACGTGGTCAAACAAATGCGAAATGAACTTTGAAAGCTACTATAAGATGGGGTTAAAAAGGATGTTTAAAAACTGCTAGCAAGTAAACTTTTAAGACATCTGCAATTGCAGTTAAGTTTGAAACCATGCAGCAAATCTCAGGGAAAGGTGATTACCTTAATTCAGAATAGCTGAAATAATTTGCATGATGACCTAATGAGAAAAGTCTGGCAGCAGGTAAGAAAAAGCTGAGTTTTGGACAATAGTTGGTACTAGAAGCGATGCTTAATAGACTGTTTATCTGCCAAGTATTGCATGCTTTCCTAAGGTATTGGCGAATGAACTGTGTTTTACTGAGAGTCAGTTCACAGACAGCCAGGGAGAGACAAGTACCAAGTAATTTGTGACAAGATGCAATTTTCATTGGTGTTTACATCACAACTAGCTAGTTTAGGACAAAGCATCACATGAAATGCTCTGAGTGCAGCTAACAGACAGCTGATATAGAGCAGTTTGCAGAGCAGCTTCTGAGTTCTGCTTCAAGATCTTGTTAATTTTCTGGGGACTTTGTCTGAGATCATGGTGGGTGGGTAGGGGAGGCTTCTGGGAGCCTGCTGAGAAACTTCAGGGTGTCTGCTGCTGCCAGGTGAGGATAGCTACAGGAGGTTATGATTTCTAGCAAGCTCTAGTAGCTTTTAACAAGCCCTATCAGCTATCAAGAGATCAATGGGTGGTGGAGTT